CACACACACCGGGGTCGTCGCAATATGCGTTTTCGCATTTGCATATTATGCAAAAATGCATAAAAATAAATCACACTATGATTCTGATGCATGCATGCATGTATTTGTTCTCTCTCTCTTTACCTCTGGTGCACATTATGTAGAATGAAACACATGATAATGAATAAACTAATATTATGCTTATGTGCTGGCCAACCTAAATGCAGTACGGTGAAACTGCGAATGGGAGATCCCTACGGATGCGTCAAAATCGTCTGCGCAGCAGTAGTTCAAGCCAGTTAAGCATCTATCGTCTTTGCTATAAAAATGCTACGGCAGCTTAGGTGGAGAGCAAGTCAGTACTAACTGATGAAACTGATAAATATCGAAGACTTGTTGTACGAAAAAAGTTAAAATTTGCTTTTTTCTGCACTCTGTTTGTATTTTTGCCAGGTAGTCACAGGTTAGGAAGACTAATTTCTTACAAATTAGTCTACTTAAAGTGATCAGGCAACATTCCGAAGTTTCTGAGTTCCCAAATTCCTTATTGAAGTAGTTAAACTAGCCTTTGGCGCAGAGACGTAAATCAGGATCAGCAAAAACTAAAATTTAATTATTGCTTAAGTTCCTTGAATTACATGGTAATTAGTCTTATGAAATCTCGGATATCTAGTTTTTTTTTCGTCTTTGCACTAAAATAGTGCATGCAACCGGGTCTTTTTCGCAACCCGATAAGTGAACCGGACTAAAAGGAGAACAAGGAGAGCTGAGTTTTAGTAATTGTCGCCTTAAAGGTGCGAGCATAGCTAATATTTGGAAATCTTACTAACCTCTAATTTTCTTCATAGAAGTTCTACACCTTAGCCAATTAAATCACCAGCGGAGTTAAGAGTTTCGTTTTGCCAGGATTCTGGAAGCCATATAAATTAATTTGGCGTTTGAAATGTACGGAACGGAGATCAAAATGCTGTAAATACTTTCTAAGAATTCAGAATCATTAATCAAAAAATCCTTTTTACTCGACAAAATCGTCAGCTTTTTCACAAAAAAATGCGATTGGTTATTCATGGTTTGCTCAGTTTGTTTGTTTTTTTTTTTAATATTTACATAATTTGACAAAAATTATAATTTCAGGACAATGAGACGAATGCCCGTACTAGAGGAAAACGATTCCAGACGGGTGGCACAACTCCGTGAATTAGTAAAGAGTAATCTGAGCTCATACTACGATACGGATTTCAACTTGTTACGTTGGCTACAGGGGCATCCGGGTGACATAAGAAACGTGGCTGCAAAACTTAATGCTCATCTTAAAGCTAGGCATGTTGTTACAACTATTTTATTCGCACCGTAATCAGCTACCTAATGAAATTTTATCTTGTGAAAAAATTTAAAAGATTTCGTAAAAAAACTAGGGAAAGCTTTTTCAATTAACACTTTAAACCTCAAAAGATTATAATAATTCTAGTGGAAATACTAAAGCAAATGCTTAGATAATCGAACATTTGTTGTAAAAAAAGAAAGATCGTTCCGTTTGCTAGCAAAAAAATTCCTGTAAATTATACTTTGCTTAGTATTTTTGATCATGAAAAGACTTATTTTTAATGCAGATGAGAGCTGTGCATAGACGGATCCAGGGCTGTCTCCTGGAAAGGAAGAGGGAAGGGGGCGGGGGGGGGGGAAGGGGAGGGAAGCGATTTTCACCTCCGCTTCTCACTTCGTCATTACCCCCTCCCCATCGACCAAGCTCCCAACCCACCCTTCAGTCGTCGTGCTACTCCTCCCCCTTGTCGCCCGACTGTACATCCCACCTTCGAAGGTCGCTTTGCACCCCCGCTCCTACTGTTTGACAAAAGCGTTAGGGCTCCTGGAGGGATTGGGGAAGGAGGGCGGGGGAGGAGCGGCAGGAAGCACCGAGTAGACTTTTGCACAGT